TTGTCTTAATTTTTATAGGAATCATGGCAGGCTCTAACAGATCTGGTGACCTGAGAGATGCTCAGAAGTCCATCCCAATCGGAACTATATTAGCTATTGCCACCACTACACTTATCTGTATCCTTGTATATCCATTACACTTCTTATCTCTTTACAGATATGTTTTTTTTTCTTGACATCTGGTTTAAGATTTAAGCTCTGTGGTTCTGTTTGGAGCCTGCATTGAAGGAGTTGTCCTTCGAGACAAGTATGTTCTCTAGTATTTTTAGTAAAGAGGAATATTATAATTCCATACACACTATTTGTCCTTTCAGATTTGGGGATGCAGTGAATAACTATTTAGTGGTGGGGACTCTGTCTTGGCCATCTCCCTGGGTTATTGTGATTGGCTCTTTCTTCTCCACTGTTGGGGCTGGTCTACAGTCCCTCACCGGAGCTCCTCGGCTTCTGCAGGCCATTGCCAAAGACAACATCATCCCTTTCCTCAGGGTGGGACAGACTTTATTTGTACAACAGATATTGAGTATGCCAGAAAATGTAAAACAATGTAAAAATTCAAGTTAGGAGTTTTATTGTTTTGAGGCCATATAGTTTTCTGGCATAACTGCTGTATTTGAGTGCTTTCATGCCACAGTTACAACATCTGGCATTCAAATCTGAATACAGCACAGTTCAAAATAATTGTACAATAAAGGTGTTTGTTTTGTCATCGGTTAGGTATTTGGCCATGGAAAAACAAATGGTGAACCCACATGGGCCCTGCTGCTCACGGGACTCATAGCTGAGCTGGGGATACTGATTGCCTCACTGGATATGGTAGCTCCTATCCTGTCAATGTGTGTAAATGTGCACATGCAAATAATACGCTGTTTATACAAAGCAGGGTCTATCTGTGAAGATGTTAACATGTATCTGTTTTTGTAGGTTCTTTTTAATGTGCTATCTGTTTGTAAACCTGGCCTGTGCAGTGCAGACTTTGCTGAGAACACCAAACTGGAGGCCAAGATTCAAATACTATCACTGGTGAGAGAGGTGTTTTTGCAATATGTGCAGTGATAAACAAAAGCAAATCTTCCGTATTTACCCCCCATACAGGACTTTATCATTCCTTGGAATGAGCATGTGCCTAGCTCTGATGTTCATTTCCTCTTGGTACTATGCCATTGTGGCCATGGGTATTGCTGGGATGATCTACAAGTACATTGAATACCAAGGGTACGTTTTATTTGGCTTAGATTTGGACTCAACTAAAATATTAAGGAATCATAACAACATATTTATAAGTGTGGCTTCATGTTTTTACATTTATGCTTTTATTTTTGTAAATCAGAGCTGAAAAGGAGTGGGGTGATGGCATAAGAGGACTTTCTCTAAGTGCTGCACGTTATGCCTTGTTAAGATTGGAGGTTGGACCCCCACATACCAAAAACTGGAGGTACTGTTATTTATTTAACAAAGTAAAATTAATTTAATTTTATAAATAACTGTTTTGGAAGAACACTTTTTTCCAGTAGTAGTTATAGTTATTTTATCACCAGATCACATCGAAACATCAGATTTTTTTTGTAATCCTCAGTTTCTTATGATAATAAAGGAGAAATTCAATTCTGTCAACTGGACTAATTACACTGAAACTAGCACACCTACTTTACAGTTTCTGTTTGTTAGCTAGGTCTATTGAACTGCACTCAGTGCCTCAGTCATATTAACATAATCATTCAGGCCCCTGATGGGTGCTTTCACACCTCTGGCTCAGGCTATTATTCAGGTATATTTATTTAGGTATATTTATATTTATATCTGAGATTGGAGTTGTATATAGGAGAGATTATGTCTGAGCCCTGCATTTCTGTTCAAAGATGGATTATTTTTCCTAACAAAAATAGCCTCTTTAACTTCCCTCTCAAACCATTTGTTTTCTTTGGCTAAGATATGTACCTCACTAACCTCAAAGGAGTGGTTAATGACTTTAAGATGTAGATTTACAGCAGACTGCAGTCCTGAGCAGCTCGGCCATCTATGTTGGTACATGAAGTGGCTGAATACACTGAACGGAATATACCACATTGCTTTGTTGTGGCTTGGTGTTTTGTCTTTCGGGTTGACCAGTTTCTGTCTTAAAGCGTTTGTAGGTTTGAAAAAGACTGGGATTTTATGTTGTCTGAAAATCTTCTGTAGTTTTTTAGAAACCACAGCCATGTAAGAAATACTTACGCCCTTTCTCCTGGGTTCTGATTCTCTGTTGTCCTGTTTTTTGTTGTTGTTTTTTTTAGCTAGGAACCACTTGGGCCCTGTGTTGTAATGTTCAAATAACTCAATTTTTGTGCTGCAGTGGATGGTGTGAATCAAAATGCAGGTATTGGTCAGTGTGTGTGGGCCACCAGCCTACCAGCAATCTGGCCAGAACTGAAAAAGCAGCTTGGATGAGCTGTGAAACGTATTCGACCAAAATAAACTTTTGTCCAGTTCACAAATTGAATTTCTCCTTTACCATGTATTCTACCGGGACGACTGAGGGATTTCACAGTTTATTATGACCTATCTGAAGCTGATGACAAGTATTGAACATGTTTATTTTGACTTACAGGCCTCAGCTACTGGTCCTGTTGAAGTTGGATGAGGACCTGCATGTGAAGTATCCCAGGATGCTAACCTTTGCCTCCCAGCTGAAAGCAGGAAAGGGTCTCACTATTGTGGGAACTGTTATCCAAGGAAACTTCCTGGAAAGCTTTGGTGAACTGCAGGCTGCAGAACAGGTTCCTGAATTAGCATGCAGTCCAAAACTGACTTTGACTCCTTACTCTAAAAGCCTTCCTGACATTTGCTTACCTTTTTATCCTTTCTAGGCTGTGAAAAACATGATGGAGATAGAAAGGGTCAAAGGTTTCTGTCAGGTTGTAGTGGCAAATAAGGTGCGGGAGGGCATCGTCCACCTCATCCAGTCCTGTGGTCTCGGAGGCATGAAGCACAACACTGTGGTCATGGGCTGGCCATATGGTTGGAGACAGAGTGAAGACCCACGTGCTTGGAAGACCTTCATCAGTAAGCTGCTTTTACTCACAGCATGGTTGTATGCCTATTTATCTGTAATAAATATAAAATATTTTGTACACATATGTATTGCATTTGTCCTTCACAGACACTGTCCGCTGTGTAACTGCTGCTCATCTGGCTCTGATGGTGCCTAAAAATGTGTCATTCTACCCAAGCAACCATGAGCGCTTCATGGACGGCAACATTGACGTGTGGTGGATTGTCCATGATGGAGGGATGCTGATGTTGCTACCATTTTTGCTCAAACAACATAAAGTAATAAATAATTCTAATATTTTTGTCATTATATCAAAAACATGATAACAAATCAGTTTTTTACTATTGCTAGGTTTGGAGAAAATGCAAAATGCGCATTTTCACAGTAGCTCAAATGGATGACAACAGCATCCAAATGAAGAAGGATCTGGCCACATTTCTTTACCAGTTAAGAATAGAGGCGGAGGTGGAAGTGGTAGAAATGGTAAGGCTTTATTACAACAATGAAAACTGCACTGTAAATACTGACTTGAAATTCTAAACTTTCAAAATGCACTTCAGCATGACAGTGACATCTCAGCCTACACGTATGAGCGGACACTGATGATGGAGCAGAGGTCACAGATGCTGAGGCAGATGAGGCTCTCCACAGCAGAACGACAAAGAGAAGTATGTGCTATTTGGGTTGTCAGTTTCAGATTTTAGTTAATAATTACTTATTATAACTTTTCTTTTAGGCCCAGCTGGTTAAGGACAGGCACTCTTTAGTTCGCATGGGGAGCCTGTACTCAGATGAGGAAGAGGAAGTGTTTGAGTCCCCACCAGAGAAGGTTCACATGACATGGACAAAAGAGAGGGTGGAGGCAGAGAGAAGAAACAAGAGCAATGCACCTGAGAACTTTAGGGAGCTCATTAGCCTTAAACCGTAAGTTTCACATATTTATTTATTCATTATATATTTATTTAAAAATGTATTTCATAATGTAATTTGTATGCAATTTGAATATTTGTTCTTATCGTGCAGAGATCAGTCCAATGTCCGACGAATGCACACGGCTGTGAAGTTGAATGAGGTCATAGTAAACAGATCGCATGATGCTCGATTGGTTCTCCTCAACATGCCAGGACCTCCCAGGAACAGTGATGGGGACGAGAATTGTATCCTTTGGCTAGATTGAATTTGTGAATTGTGTTACATTTATTCTGTATCATGTAAGGCATATAGAACAGTGACTGCTGGGTTGCGTGTGTTTCTTAACCTTCTTCAGATATGGAGTTTTTGGAGGTGCTGACTGAGGGGCTGGAGAGAGTATTACTGGTAAGAGGTGGAGGTCGCGAGGTTATCACTATCTACTCATGACCAGCCCACTTCCTTTTTCGAACGGACTGCACTCTGCCTGAACTGCAGAAGACATTAAACTGTTGTAGAAGTAAAAGTGATCAACTTTGGAAAAATGTATCTTATTTTTGTAGAATTTAAAACAGCAGTATTCATATTCTTCACAGTTCTGACGTTTATAGCAAATCAAAGCTGTCCTTGTGTCACAAATGAATGAGTAAAATTTAGATCAATGAGGTAACCATTTGACAGTATTATAAAGTTTTATATGAAAGGACCAGCATTTCACCATGTTGCAGTGATCATCTGTCACTTGTAGTGTCACAGACATAAACTAATTTGATTTTGAATGCACACTTTTTTATTTATTTATTTATTTTTCTATAAACTCTTCCCGGACATTTTCTATAAATGTTTATTGTAAAAAAAATAAAGAATAATTAATAGCTTTACTGTTAACCTTGACATGTCCTTCCATAGATGGGTGGTACAAGATAGAATCTAATCAAGATCTGTTTTATTAACCATGTTTTTTTCTATGTCAAAAATACAAATATCTTGAGAATTTGGAGATTTGTTTGCCTTCTTGAATGAGTGATTATCTTAAAACACACAAGAATTACAGATTACATTCTATTTAACAAAGACTATACTTTAATGAATTTATAGTTGCAAACTGTCTATATTTGAATCTCTAGTGGTATGGAGGTCATTACAGTAAAAAAAGAGTAGAGAGAAGCGGGGCTGCAGCTAAAAGAATGTGCAGCGTTGATGGTAAATGTTGCTCAGATGATGAGGAGGGTGAGTCTGGGTGCCTCAGCACTAGTCTACAGGGGTTCTGCACTTCCTCCACGCTGATCTGCACCTCACTGGGCGGCTCCGTGACCATTTTATCACGCACCTGTAAATGCATTTTAGTTTAGTTTGACATTTTTTTAAGTTCTAAACTGAATAGAAAAACATTTTTACCTCTTCCACCTTATTAAAAACTCTTAAGAAGTTCTGTCGAAGAATGTCTGCCAATTCATGCTCTGTCCAGTTCCTCTGCAGTAATTCCTGGATCAAGGCGGGGTACTTTGAGACATCATCTAACCCCTTGGGAAAGCTAAGAAAATAAGAAAAACACACATATCCAGTTATTTGCTTTCAGACACAAATCCCAAATTTATGGCCCAACTCCACCCATGTTATACACAGGCATGTTTTTTTCCCAAGTTCATACTTTATGGCACCCTCAAAGTCGCTTCCAATTCCTATTGAATCTGCACCAATGATCTTCTTAATATGATCAAAATGATCTGCAAAAAACAGTAAAAACACAAATTAATGCAACATTGTAACATTTCAGATTATGAATAAACAAAATTACCTCACCAGCCACAAGAGAAATGTTTGCCTCCCTTTTACAGGAAATGAAATTAGAATGAAAATTGACCATGATCAGACCCTGATTCTTTTTCTGAAATACAATATCATTATAGCACAACATTAGTAGTTGAGAATGTGTGGATGGGCATTATGTCTTCTTTTCCCTTTTGGTGTTGCAGACTATATCGAGAAATAAAGTATCGTGAGTGTACTGCATGCATATATTAAATACTACAATTATATATTTGTTTGAATAGCTAATGCTTAACCAGTGAAATTTGATATATGTGTTTGAAGAAACTGCTGTGTTTGAAGAAACTGTTGTGTAGGTTGTGTCTTTTTAAGGAAATTCTGTACAGAGCAGCTGACAAGGAGACATCCTGGCTGGCACCAAACCTAAATAGATCAGGTCATATACATAAATGGAGAAACTTCAGGGAGGACCCAAGGCGTGAACCTGATCAACATATCATTATACATATTTCTGTGAATGTATATATACTGGGTTAAGGGACAGATGCAGGCGTTCAGACTGCCTGAAACTAAGTCCTGTGTAGAATAGGCCATCAGGGATAGTGGTCTGACCCAGAGCTCTGTATTAGAATTGTATTGGACAGGGAATGAATTCTTTTTACTTTTAATTCATCGATTCCAGTTGTAATTTTTGATAGAACACTCCTAACGGTGTACTTCTGTTTATTGGTGCAGTAAATGCAAATGCAGGAGCATTCAAAATACGTTGTCACTGACAGGAAGACTGATTTGCATGTGCCAAAACAGTGCCATTTCCCATCTCAGTTATTATTATAATTAAATTTAAATCCTTAATAGGTGAATTAATTCATGGAGCTTATGGTATCCTTTAGAGATATTTTATCTGTTGTTCTGTATGGACAAGAGTATTTTATTATTATTATATTTATTATCCCACTACTACCACTGACTTTAAATTAACCCATCAGTACAATACAAAATTAAGCTTATTCAATTTCCAGCTGGGTGTTCTTACCAGTTCTTTCAACATCGAGTCTGGTACATTGCGATCATTGTTGCATAAAGTATATGAAGATGAATGGCTGAAAATCACAGGGGCTTTTGAAAGTTTTAGAACTGCTTGAGCTGTTCTCCATGAAGTGTGGGAGAGGTCTATGATCATGCCCAGCCGGTTCATCTCTTCCACCACAGCCTAATAACAAACACATATTTCTTGTATCACACATAAGAAAAATGTACCAAACTGGCATTAATTTGGCACTAAAAACATGTGAACTCACTCTTCCAAAAGATGTCAAGCTGTTATTCTGTCTTTGGTAAAAATTGTATCTTTTGGAGGATGATTCAGCCCTGTGTTAAATAAAGAGCACTGCTTTCAGACATGTGTTGTAGAACTATTGTGCAGATAAGCAAAATTGAAATCCCTCAAACAGCATTGTATATATTACTAGTTATTTGGTAAATGGGGCGTAAACATCAGTAACATGGGGATAATATAGGGCAAAACCTTTTCTTGTTCAGTGTCATTTAATCAACTTGCATCCATAGGTGTATATGGAACATATAAGGGAAAATGCCTTAAAAATTTCAGTGTTAAATACATTTTTCATTTCAGTCACTTTCATAAATCACTTACATTTTTTTTCAAATTGATATCTCAAAATCTATTCACTTAAGATATTTTTTGACTAGATTTGTCTCATAAAAATATAAACCCTGCATACATTACCATGGCGTGTTGCATGTGTGTGTGAGAGCCATAGACCGAACCCCGAGTTGGTAAAACATTCGCAGAACTGGTAGGCTGCTGTCAATGGAGTGGCCTCCCTCAATACTCAGCATACAAGCTATCTTGTGCTTCATGTGAGAGTTTCTCAGTTCTACAGTGACAAAAAATGGATTAACCATAATGTGTGACAAATATAATATAAAAAGTTTACCCTGAGTGGATGTGACCAGCTCAAAGTCTTGATTCTGTGTGCACACTCGTTTCAGCACATCTATTTGCTCTAGGGTCAGCCTCACAGCATCCTTCTCCTGAGCCCCACACATCACATACACTGAAAACATCTACAAATACATTTAAAACATAAATAACTTTAAGATACAATAAACGGTATATTATATTGTGTAGGAAAAATGGTGTGACTGGTACCTGTGCTTGGACATGCCCAGCCACGAGGCGGCTGATGTCAGTGGCAATTTTGCTCATGTTACTGAAGTTTATTTTGTTCACTTGGTTATTATAGAGTTTTCTCAGCTGAAGAGCAAGATCATTGTGACTGGCACAAAGAGAAATAAGATAGATTTGTATTTGATTCGTGTGTGTGTAATTTAAGAGAAATGTTTATCGATAAAGCTCTTACCCATCAATAAGAGGATATCTAGACATCAGATCGCGCACCCTGTCTTCTTCTGAATAGCCAGAGATCAACGCGCACAGGGAGACAAGGATGATGCACTGCAACCGGTACATGGCTCTACAGCTGCAACCGTATAAAGTTTACTCTTACACAGAAAAAAGATCATCATGTCTTTCATCATGTTTCATGTGATCTTTACTCCTTCATTGATTACATTCTAGCAGGACAAAGTTGAATTTAATTAATTTGTAATAATAATATAATAGGCCTAATAATGAAAAGAAACTATAGCCTTCAAAAATCCATTGTGCTTAATTTACAGCAGAAATGTTTAATTTACAGTTTCACATTAAGCCCAAAAACTCCTAGTGATTTTGCCGTTCACTTACCCGCTGGCTCGTTGAAAAGGGTTGCTGAGTGACTACTTCACTGAACAACTGTCCAAACAGAGGGAACTTTCCAGCTCTGACTCTCACAGGAGATACACACAGCGGACCTTCACAAAAGAGACAGACAGAGCAGCGTGCGTGACTGTCGACCGGCCGATGAGCCAATACACCTCTTTTAATTAAAGATACCTTAAGATAACACCTAGCTTGTAATTACTCACATAAATTCTTCCGTGTTTGGTAAAATTTACCATTGCTATAAAAAAAAGTGAAGCACAACTGTGTTTAATAGTTCGCTGAGGCCATCTGCTGGTGAAACTATAGGCCTATTCACTGTATGCCTCCGTTATAAATGCTAAGCCAGCGCAGCGAGTGATAAAAGACAATGCTAATGTCGTTATATCACCCACAATAAAGCTAACAAACAGATTTTCACCACTGTCACAGACTGATGTTAATGTACAAACGGATAATGTACTGTCATCACAAAACAAGAACAATAAAGTTGGCAAAAGAGTGCAGACATCCCGGGAATCTGTGCCAAACGTCAAAGTCAGAGATACGTTGCTGCTAGGAGACGGGGCTATCAGTGGTGTGAGTCACAGAGAAATCCTAACATGCTGCTACCCCACATACACTGTTTCTGAGATAACAAAACTCCTGACAAAAGTTTTGTCAACACACCAAGGGGTTAAACAGCTGATTGTGCACGTGGGTGCAGTGGACATCAGAATGGAACAGAGTGAAATCTTGAAAAGGGATTTCACTAAATTATTCGAGGAGCTTAATAAAGTGGAGGTTAAGACATTTATCAGTGGACCTCTTCCCAACATAGACCTAAGGAACAGGAACAAATTTACCCGACTGTTTCAGCTGAACACGTGGCTGCTGAACGTGTGTGCGCGGCCAGAGGATTGCACTACATTGAGAACTTTGATCTTTTTTGGAAAAGGGAGGACCTGTTTGAGGGAAATGGCCCACACCTAAGCAGAGGTGGAGTGAGAGTGTTGACTTCCTCCACGCTCTGAGGCACTGGCCTGGACAGGGTCCTGTGCATCCAGTGAGAGAAAAGAGAAATGGGAGAAGCATCCCTACTGCACCAAACAGAGAACCAGCCAATGAGTCAGCACCACTGACAGCACCACCGCTGCCACAACCACAACCACTTCCCCCTCCCCCAGACAACAACTCAGCAGCATCACCACCTTTCCCTCCCCCAGAGAACGAGTCAGCAGAACCACCTCCCCCTCCCCCAGAGAACAAGTCAGCAGAACCACCTCCCCCTCCCCCAGAGAACAAGTCAGCAGAACCACCTCCCCCAGAGAACAAGTCAGCAGAACCACCTCCCCCTCCCCCAGAGAATGAGTCAGCAGAACCACCTCCCCCTCCCCCAGAGAACAAGTCAGCAACACCAGCACCACCTCCCCCAGCACCACCAGCACACCCATCACCTCCGCTGCCCACAGACCAGCCTGGAGTCCACTTTGCTATATCTACTCCATCAACGGACTCTTCACTCTCCTTCTCCTCCCCACTTTCACCCATGGCACTTCCCAACCATCTAGAAAGCCTTATCAGATCGGGAGTCAAGATGGTTCCTCTCACACCTAACGTAGCACGGTCAAGGGTTCTGACATCAACTATGTTGAACTCTCCCCCAAACAAAACTGTGCCTGTTTCACCACCAGAGACTCTCTCAGCTCTCCCCTCTAATCTTTCACCCAAACCTCCCCCTACTCCACCTCCTTGGCCCTCACCTGGTCCCTCACCTGGTCCCTCACCTGGTCCCTCACCTGGTCACTCACCCAAACTCTCCCCTGCTCGCCCTCCCCTGCCTTTCCCCAGAGCTGTTATCACCAAGACGCACAGGGCCTCTGCTGTGTCCCAGGACATACAGTCATGATAAAGGTAATATCAGGCTGGGGCCCTGCGATGAAGCTATATCTCCAGTTACAACACATAGACGGATTAAAAGAAGGACAGTTAGACTGTCTAATCAGAGAAATTTAGTTCACATTCCCTGTAAGAAGATAACATCCAGTCCTACTGGAACAGAAACTTGCTGTGCTCAATGTCAGTCGAAGGCGGGGGCCTCGGCGACCAGATCTCCGGACATGGAGACTAGCTCTGGGGACATGGAATATATATATATATATAATGTATGTATATATACATTCCGGGGGAGGCTGGAGATAAGTGTCCGAGTGGGCTTCATTCTTGGCCTCTATTGTTAATGCGGCTGCTCGTAGCTGTGGGCGTAAGGTCTGTGGTGCCTGTCACGGCGGCAATCCCCGAACCCGGTGGTGGACACCGGAAATAAGGGTTGCCGTCAAGCTGAAGAAGGAGTCCTATCAGGGTCTTGTTGGCTTGTGGGACTCCTGAGGCAGCTGATGGGTACCGGCGGGCCAAGCGTGCTGCAGCTCGTGTGGTTGCGGAGGCAAAAACTCGGAGCTGGGAGGAGTTCGGGGAGGCCATGGAGGAGGACTATCAGACGGCCTCAAAGAGATTTTGGCAAACTGTCCGGCGCCTCAGGAGGGGGAAGCAGTCCTTCACCAACACTGTTTACAGTGCGGGGGGAGAGCTGTTGACCTCGACTGGGGACGTTGTCCGGTGGTGGAAGGAATACTTTGAGGATCTCCTCAATCCCACCGTCACGTCTTCCGAGGAGGAAGCCGAGGCTGGGGACTCGGAGGCGGACTCGTCCATCACCCTGGCTGAAGTCACTGAGGTGGTCGGCAAGCTCCTTGGTGGCAAGGCTCCGGGGGTGGACGAGATCCGTCCTGAGTACCTTAAGTCTCTGGATGTTGCAGGGCTGTCTTGGCTGTCTTCAACAGGTGTCGGAGCCCCATCGAACCAGGAACCTGCCAAGGTCGGCAGAGGAGTGGGGCGGTTTGCAAGCCGAGTGGTTGTGTGAAGCGGGCTTGGGATGAAGGATTCAGCTCTTCCAGTAGTCTTTGAGGGCCATGGTTTCTCGACCCTGGAAAAAATGGTGGCTTGCCCCTCTCCGGTGTGTGGGTGGGGAGTCCCTGCCTCAAGTGGAGGAGTTCAAGTATCTCGGGGTCTTGTTCACGAGTGAGGGAAGGACGGAACGTGAGATTGACAGGTGGATCGGTGCAGCGTCCGCAGTGATGCGGTCGCTGTATCGGACCGTTGTGGTGAAGAGGGAGCTGAGTCGAAAGGCGAAGCTCTCGATTTACCGGTCAGTCTTCGTTCCTACTCTCACCTATGGTCATGAGCTCTGGGTAATGACCGAAAGGACAAGATTGCGGATACAAGCGCTCGAAATGAGTTTCCTTCGCAGGGTGGCTGGGCGCTCCCTTAGAGAGGGTGAGGAGCTCAGTCACACGGGAGGAGCTCGGAGTAGAGCCGCTGCTCCTCCACGTCAAGAGGAGCCAGCTGAGGTGGCTTGGGCATCTGTTCCGGATGCCTCCTGGGCACCTCCCTCGGGAGGTGTTCCGGGCATGTCCCACCAGGAGGAGGCCCCGGGGAAGACCCAGGACACGCTGGAGGGACTATGTCTCTCGGCTGGCCTGGGAACGCCTCGGGTGAAGGAAGTCTGGGAGTGGCATTATATATGTATATATATATATATATATATATATATATATATATATATATATATATATATATATACAGTACTGTGTCAAGGTTTTAGAAAATAAATAATAAATAATGGTTGTTGTTGTCAATTCACACAAAGGAGTACACACAAAGTCAGGGATTCTGTAGTGTTATACTCAGGTGTATGATCAATCAATTATCCCAAACAGGTCCTAATGATCATCAATGTCACACGTAGGTTGGAACACAGTCTTTAAGTGAAACAGAAACCGCACTGTAGGAGGCTTAAAACTGAGTGAGGAAGAGCCAAACTCTGCTACGAAGTTGAAGCTGTGGAAGTCAGTCTCATGTCACAGGTCATACACCGTGGCAAGACTGAACAGCCACAAGACACAATGTAGTTATACTGCATCAGCAAGGTCTCTCCCAGACAAAGATTTCAAAGCAGACTGGGGTTTCAAGATGGGCTGTTCAAGCTCTTTTGAAGAAGCACAAAGAAACAGGCAACGTTGAGGAACGTAGACGCAGTGGTCTGCCAAAGAAAGTTAGTGCAGCAGATGAAAGACACATCAAGCTTATTAGCCTTCGGAATCGGAAGCTGTCCAGCAGTGCCATCAGCTCAGAACTGGCAGAAACCAGTGGGACCCAGGTACACCCATCTACTGTCCGATGTCTAGCCAGAAGTGGTCTTCATGGAAGAGTTGCAGGCAAAAAGCCATACCTCTGACGTGGAAACAAGGCCAAGCGATTCAAGTATGCACAAAAACATAGAAACTGGGTTGCAGAAAAATGGCAGCAGGTGTTCTGGACTGATGAGTCAAAATTTGAAATATTTGGCTGTAGCAGAAGGCAGTTTGTTTGTCAGTTGCCAAATTGACATGTACTAGCCTATGGCATAATTTTGCTTTCAGTCTATTATCACCTGTAACAGAAACACATTTTAATTAATCTCAGGTACAAGATATGATGCTTGATTTGGTTATTGTGTCCTCATATAGTCATGACAAGTGCAGTTCCTGTGTGATTAGAGCACCCTGCTGTTTGGAAAAAGTAGTCACAATTGTGTGGATATTACTCTACCAGGTTCCCACTGCGAACAGTGCACTCTCAACTGATATGTTTAGGTTTGGACTAGCTGAATAAGCTAAATGAATAAATAACTTGACAACCAGCCCAAATAATGAGGTCTAGAGGAAGATTTAAGTTGTCGGTTTTCCTGATATACTACTGTACTCCAAAATATCACTGGAGAACAGAGTTAGCCTATTCAGTAGAGTTCTAAAACAACAAGAGGGACTCATTATCTTTTTGAGAATAAAAGGTGCCATGATGGTGATGGTAGTATATTCACATTACTGAAATGCAGCAGGGAACAAACTTGGCTTATGTGGTAACCAATCCCTCCCTCACACACTATTTTCACATAGTGGCTGAAGAGTCTCGTCCAAGGACCTATTGACAGTAAACTGGTCAGACCAAGTGAGCATTCTATCACCAAACCACTATCATCCCAGGCGTTTATTTCTTTTTGTATGTATAGCAGTGAAATTTCCAAAAAACAAAACAAAACAATCAACAATGATGTAGCCTATAACAAGCTAGAACATTTTAATTTAGTCTTCATTAGAAGGAACAGTGTGCTTAGTTGATTGTTTCCATCTACAGTCCCAGCCAAGTCATTCCAAGAATGACTTTGCTAAAAAATGCAATATTATTCTTAGGTTATAGCACCTGCCCTTGTAATTAAACAGTTGAAATAAAAAAGTATAACATTTCATGAATGGAGAACAGTCCTCCTAAAAACTCATTTCAAAACACGTAAAGCCTTTGCCTGAAACCAATGAATAGTGATACTACTGCAGTCCATTAAACAAAATATACTTCTTCCTTACACCCAGCAGAGGGCAGCATCATTCTGGACAAGTTATTTCTGTATATGTGATTTGGAACCATTTAAAGGCATTCAAAATAAATATATACATATATTTATAAATCTCCAACCCGAAGTGCCTTAATTTATAACTTAAATTAATTGTCACGTTTATTTATTTTTACTTTATACTTCCCACTTTATAGTAAATGATGTTTACCCAAATGCTAGCATTTGCAAATTCAATGGGATAATCTGCAATGTCTTCCTCCAGGCAGCTGGGGACATTTTGTTTCACTGAACTTTCTCATTTCTTGTGCCCTGGATGCTGGCAGCCCTGTAGTCAGTATTCATTATCGCCACTTACAGCTTTGACTTAAGCACGGCAATTACATCCTCAACTGCTCTGATTAATCCAACATGGAGGCATTTTACAAAAAGACATTTTCAAGACACTTACCAGGGAGTAGCTGGGGCACGGCTTGTTTATGCTGATAGACCAGCCAGTCATATTGGAAATAATATGTTTTCACTGGCTGCTTAAGTGTTCTCCTAACCTCTTGTGTACACTGCAGAGAAAACAATGGACCATTGAGAGGAGTGATTAATTTTGCATTTTTCTTTAGACATAAGATGGAAGTATGTGTTGTGTCATGTTTAAAATTGCAGTTTTCTATAGCTGCAACAACCATTTGTTAAGTGGGGAGCATCTTCACTGCTCACCAGTTAACTACTTAACCTTTTCTATTCTCTTGCAGCAATCACATGATCAATCACTGCCCCATTACGTGACACAGGCAGACAAAGTGTATTGAGAGTGAGAAAAAGCAAGAGAAATGCTGACTTGAGAGCAGCTAACACAGGCAAAAAAACATAGCCCCAGTAAATATTCAATTTAAAGGATTCCTAGATAAGGCGGGTTGAAAAATTGAGGCAGCACCCATTCTTCTAGATAAGAGAAGACGGAGCCATCTGGAGGCTGGGAGATAGCAAACTCCCACGCCATCCCCGAGACCTCACTCTCATCTGCAGCAGCGGCAGAGAGGGGGAAAGTGAGTGCCAACACTTTCATTATGTTAACTTCAAAATGAATTCATTCACATTCACGGCATGCACTTATTGGCTTTGGTAAACAGGAGGTTACTCTTTTGTCCGCCACAATAGACAGTGATAATTGGTCAGGCTGAGCACAATGTTGCCATAGTGGGTTAAGAATTTGTAAAAGGTTATTAGAACAGTTATAAAGTAGTCTAAAAAATCTCAAAAAAGTCTACCAAAATCTACAAATAATACATATTTGTTCAGGCTTAAAAATATAAGCAAAATTAAAGACCATATAGTATATTTACAGGGATACACAGAAAATAGAATTTCAAGTTGATTTGAAAAGAAAAAAATATGTCAATAATATGATTTAAAAAATAAATAAATAAAATGCATTTATAGACAGAGGCCTAAAGTCTGTTTGTTATAGTCATGCCAATTTGGGGGATTTTTTAAGTTAAAAAAAAAAAAAAAAGGCAGGAAAAATAATTGTTTGTCACAGGGAAATTATTCAGTATTCCACTGTGTGTGCTGAATGTATTATCTTACTGACATGCACGTGTATTGAAAGACTTAAGATGTAATATTTCTGATATAGGTTGCTTTTTATAAATAAATAATATATAAACTTTTGTGATTCTGTTTGCATTAAAATACAATTAGATTTTATAAATAACAAACAAACACACACTTGGCATTTCATATTTTGGTCTTTGCAGAGGGCAGATAAGTTTTCTCTCATTGGATTAAATGAAGCAGAAAAGTCATTGTGCAGCTGGTTAAAGATGCACACGCAGTCACAGTCTGGCCTGGATCCCCTCCTAATCAACCTTGACTTGAAAACAAACATTATCGGCTGTAGAGAGGCTCTGGTAAATAACCTTCCTCACCTTCTAATGCACTTTGTCGACTCGTACACTCAACCATTTCATGCCAGTCACATTGCATTTGGCTCTGGGATAATACTTTTGTCACTACATTTTATCTGTTCTCTCACTCAGGTATGCAATGCTGCTATCCCCAATTACCTTCTCCTGCATTTTCGCGTTGGGCCCAGGATACTTTCTGCTTGATAAGAGATGCGGGTCGATTGGAAATTTACTTATAGCGTCACTATCTCTTTGACCGGAATCTAGGACTGACTCTCCCCATGGGCTCCTGTGTAAAAAGCTGTTAACTGTATGATAACAATGACCCACAGTGATAACCTTCCAGACTTAAGGACACACAGTTAGCTGCATGCAGTTGCAGTGTTCCTTATTCAACCTTGGATGCTCTGCTATACTGTGATGCACTTAATGGGATCGAGAGGGAGGCTAATCACTCTGCGTGCACCTGACCATTATATAGTCTAAAACTGTTCTGTGGTAGTCAGGAAGAGAGGCCTTAGCATTTCCTTGAAGCGTATTGTCACTTTGATTAATATAGCAAAGGAGGGTAACATCTGCTTTTGGAGATTTTCATTAAGATCAATGGTAAGGCTGCAGACAAGAGTTAGTGAGTCTAATTTATTATACCCTGAAGTCAGAGCTGATGAGATGGTAACAGTCCTACAGGATTTGAGGTTGCTGCGAGTTTGAATTAAGACATGGAATTGTGTTCAATCATTTACAATGTACACAATACTAGTATCCAAATACATTCTATATATTGCATCCAGTTGTTGCTAGTAACTCAGTTCAAAGTTAAAAATGGTATTATCGTCCCCTTAGAATTATAAGGTTCTATCTATGTCATAGGTAATTCTGAGATTTTGAGATTTAAAGTTTTGACCATTCATAGAGCACAAAGGAAAAAGGGAAATAAGGTTTTGCTGATATAAACAGAATTATAAACAGGGGTACTCAGGAACAAGAATATGAGTACTACAACAAAAAAGGTCAGATGGAACCTTATCATTTGAAGGAGATGCAATTTAAATTAGATGGGGAAAAAAAAGAACATGACTTAACGCCATATTATTTTTTCAAAATAGAAATGAATAAAACATATAAAATGAATGAAAGGTCCTTAAAACTATTGTATTGAAATGTGATTTTTACTTATTGGCAAGAGTTGCTACATTCATTGTCTGTTCTTTCTTGGTATTAATGGGAGAAATTAGATAAAAACAATATGGAGAAATATGTGTGCACAAAAGTGGTTGCCTCAAGTCTTACGCTTATTGTCTTAAAGGTAGTAGATTTTTACAGGTAGGTAGCTAGTAAAAAAAAAAAAAAAAAAAGGATCTCATGGTTGACTTGCCTTATATTTTGTCAGATAGTGTATATGTGAGAGTCTATCAGACCCAGTTTTAATCCATTTCCTCAATGTGTTGTGGTATGTTGCTATCTTAATGATAATCTTAGCCTGTATTTTTGCCCTGGGCGTTCCTGTCAGCCCGTGGTGGTTACAGGGAGCTGCGCCTTATCAACAGCTTTGTCATTAAATCAGCTTTTCTACACACAAATTTCACTTCCATTATCAGACCATCAACGCTCTGATTTCCTTTAGTCAGTTCAATCAAAGCTTTGCAAATGGGGTGTGAAAGTTGGAAAGATTAAATACAAAAATAAAATGGCGGCTGGAGACAATATTTAATTTGTTTTTGTAATCAGACATGAAATTATTTGCATTTATTTTTATCAATGGCTTGAAATAGTTTTGTTTGTGTACTTTCAGAAGCTACATAGTAATGATGGAAGGGCCAAAGTCTTTCACAGGATGCAAGCAGAAATCTGCTCCCTGTGACTTCCATGGCTTTTTCTCATATCAATGTGAAAAATGCATTGAATGAAAATGTCAGTTTTGATATGTGATGTAGGACGTCCCAAGAAAAACATCCCTTTAAATGCTGTTGAGTCAAGCTTCAAAATGGTCCTATGCCCTCCAGTAGTTCTTCTTGGAGTGCACGGTTCTATCTGAGTGAGTGTTCTGATTGTCTCAGCATTGTGCTTGAGCGGAGGGCAGCTCCAAATGAACTCCTTCTGATTCAATCCTCTCCACTGTTTGACACAAGTCCAGCCTGCAGTCACAGAGGGGGGAGCGCCGCCTGGGCCCCTTCCCCCAGACACACTCTTTTACCAGGGGGGAAAGACGCGGTGTATGGCAAAGGTCCTGGAGGTCTTTTACATGCTGCTGACTGTGACGAATTGAACCCCTCTCTCTCCTCCCAAAGTGCGCTCAGAGCCTCCGGAGGTTGGTAGCCGGGTTCCGTGGGGTCAAGCGGGTCTTTGGATAGCAGAATACTGATAGAAGGGACTGACCTGTGCACTGTCATCTCGGACGCCCCCCCTTCGCTGTTCTCCCACACCTCTTTCACAGTCTTGTAGCGCAGTTTGGTGAGCTGGTGGAGGGAGCCCACTTTACGCTTCATGATCTCAGCACAAGTGATGGTTTTGGTAACTGCTCTTCCCGACCCGCTGAAGACCACCTGCCTCAGACCTCTGGCGCTGCCTTCGGTTCCAGTGGCTCCCTTCTCGCCTTCCATCCGAGCCATGGCGAAACCCATTAGGTTACGGATTTTGCTGCCCTCCTTCACGCGCATCTCCAACACTCCGGAGGGCAGTCCTGGAAATGGGCTGGGGCTGTCCTCCTCACTTCGACAGACTTTTTTGAAGCCTTCTTGCCCTAGTTTGACTGCTGGAGGTGGGGCAATAGGTGGCATTGGTTTTGGTGGGATTGGGACACTGTTGACCACTGGTGTCTGGACAGGAGGGTTGTAGGTCTGACCTTGGTATACAGAGCACATCGCCATGCCTCCATTATTCGGTATTTGCATCTGTCTGTTAACATTCAGCCCTGGGTATATCCCCGTATTGTCCCTGCTTAAGTACTGGCTGTGGGCACTGGCCACTTGGCAACCCGTGAACATTTTTAGTAACTATAACTCTAACCCTATCTTAAAAAAAAAAAAAATACAGCTCACCGAATTTTGGGTGACATTTTTCCTTCCTCCCAGTCAACAGTGGTGAAATTTTAAGGACTTCATAAGAAATATTCCCCCGTCCCCAGGAGCACTATCAGTGGAGCCTTTAATGTTTCCTCTCAGTAAGAGCTGGAGAAATAAGATAAACGCCAGGCTGCTGAATTAACAGCACTGTTGGGACATTTGAAGATATTCTTTAAAGAGCATCTCAATTTCAGACCACAAATGGCGAGTGGGATAGAAGCCTGGTGACAGATACAACAAAAAGTGTGCTCAGTTATGCATCATATTTACATTAGACATTTCAAAAGTTCTGGTTAAGAACTTTCTTTAAAGCATATGAAAGAAATACAATTCAAGACTTTACCTTATTCTCTGAGACTCCTTCTTCTGTGGCATAGTTGCATCTTCTGATCATGTTTCGTCAACTGAAAGCGAACCCTTTGCTTGGACCCAGCTGTGAAAGTTGCAGTCCCGGCGTTTGTGCCTCTGGATGTTTTACTCCAGATAGGCTCCAGCTGTGTCTCCTCTCCTTGCTCTCATCCTAGCAGTGGCGTTGAGTCCACTGGAGGTCGGCACCTGGGGCGTCATCCCTGGAGCACTGTCCTTCTCTGCTGTGCTGCTCTGGGAAGTGTGTTCTGTTCCCTCCATAGAGACATAAGGGACACAAGCTGCCTCACTAATGCTCACAGGAGGAGTGTCAGTGTGGTTGAGGCAGAGCATGAGGGAGAGCAGAGACAGCCCTCTTAAAGGCACCGGTCTCTTCATCCTTTACAACAATGCACTCCCTCCCACAATTATGCCATATACGGCGCGTAAAAAAAAAAAGGAGAAGTGGGTAGGGCTGTGTCCCTTTAAAACCCAGAGCCCAGATCCCCGGCAACTTTGTCAGTCTCTTTAGAGGACGTTCTAGTGTGCAATGTACATGACTGATTAAACTCGAGTTCTGAAATAGAGATTCAGTCAACCTTTAAAAATGCATTTTCAGCCATGAAACAGTGAATTAAATTAGCTGGGCTTATAATTGAAAACATCCTTCAAAGACCCAGTGAAAGTCAGCGGCATTAAATTGCACTGTAGTTACCCTTTATCCTATTAGATGTTTGCGACCATTACGATTTACATAATGCAGCATTAATAGCTTCATTGTGGAGGCAATCAAGTGGCGCGGCGAGAATGCTGTCTCTTAACGCATGGATTGCTATAATGTTTCAAAGGCTCGAGAGTTCTTGCGATCAAGGACATAAGGGCCCCAAAAACCCACAGAACCATGACTTCTATGTTCAGGGTGCTATATTAATGCTGACTGTCTTCATTAGGCTGTCATATCTGTGTAGGTGAAGGAGATGGGTCTGACAGCTGCGTTAATAAGTATCTTAATGGGCTTTCCATCACCAGTGGGGGGCGCTGCATGGTCCAGAGTACAGGGCGCAGACAGCTGTGGCACTGCCTGTCCAGCCCAGCCTGGCGGTGGACAGGTGGATTTGTTTTGGTGTGTGACTGACAGATGGGAGAATAGGTAAAGACAGACCAGTGAGGCTGAACCTATGGGGCCAGGAGAAAGTGCGAGACAAGCCCTAACTACTCTTAGCTCAGTATCTGTGAAGACCAGCTCTACACAAACAATAAACTCAAAGTGGCTCAGTCCCCACTGTATACAGCCTTTACACTTCTATTCTTTATATTGAATTTGTCTTATCGTTGTCAGATTCACTTTGATTTTTAAGACCATGTAAAAAAAAAAGATTCTCCATAGACATTGACAGCCATGTGTAACCTGTTATGATATTGAAAAGAAAATAAACAGATCAACACCTTTAAATATTATAGAAATATTATCACAATACAAATATTATATGTTAAAAATGAATCCCATTTGGCTTTGGCTTTTTGTTGAGAGTTACATCATGTTGGAAGAGTTTGAGGTTTGATTACATTCGATTATGTTGAGTATTTTTTACTGATATGTTTGTTATGTTGCAAGTTATGTAGTATTTTAGTTAAATTTGCACCAATTCAGATTTTTCATTTTTGATACCGATTCCCATACTGTTGCAATCTAAGGACATTAACTAATACCAGAACAGAGATAATATCTTCAAACAAAAATAAAATAAGACAGAACTGATTTAAATGTGTGCTATAGGTGTTATTTATCGCTCAAGTAAAGACGGAACAACTTTGTATAAATTAAAGTTCAGACATAATACTTTCTGGGCTGACTAAACTCAGTAAATTGTCCTTTTCAAATCATTGTACATGTCCAACCAAAATATCTGATGAACCAATATTTGGAAGCTGATATCCAGTCCAACAAATGTTTCAGTATCTGCGCTGATATCCAATACCATCATCAGATTAGTGCATCCTTAATTTTAGTGGCACTTTTGCATCTGTTGGGGCTTAAATTTTATCTCTGTGTTTGTCCTCCATGCTTGCTGGTTTTGTACTTATTCATACTGGATAAAAATGCTAAATGATATGTCCATTACACTGAAAAATATACTAACCAAGAATAGTGTATGGTGTTAACTGTGCCTTTTACTACAGTATAATAACAGAATGACAACAATCGCACTGAGAAAACTTCAACAATAAAAAATGAATGTTTTTTTGTCTTCTCCAACTCTGCTGCATGTTAGAGTGCTCCTGAATATATATCATTGCTTGTGTTTTTTGTAAGTTAAGAAAGAGACAGAGAGCAAGAGAAGACCAGGGAGGGGGAGGGCCTGTAGCTCACACTAGCAAAGTGATCATTCTGTTGTTTGGAAGAAATTACCCTCATCAGTCATACGGAGATGCACAGCTGCCTAAGGGGATGTGGTAATGTTACTGCATAATAAACTGTGTTACTGTGTGCGTGTGCATGTATATGTGTAGGGAGTGCAGGCAGAAGGTGACAGAAGTTTGACTTAACAACTGAGAGGTTAGAATTGATGTGGTGTAATCGTCCCTCTTTACAACCCAAAATTGGCACCTTATTTAGTGCTTTTCAGCTCCAACCCGAAGACTCCTCACTCACAACATCTGATAGATTAAACTGTTTATCTGAAACGCTGGCGTCCCCCAAACATTCTGCCTCTCGATTGCAGTGAGTACGATTCTCCAGATAGCAGTGTAAAACCATCACGTTTTATGGAGTGCCTTGTATTGACCTTTTTGAGCGGAGCGTTTTTTCTTTAAGTGGCTTCGTTTAATGATGGGTAAAGGCAGCGGCGCTCATGCCTGGCCTCACGCTCCTCCTCCACACCTCCTCCACACAAGTGTCTCTTGTTTTGTAGCTTTTCAAGCACTTACTCCTCACTTTATCTGACCCCGACAGGCACTAGTGATGGTCAGGCATTCTCTTCATTCACTGGCTCAGCTTTTATTCCTGCCCACCTCAACCTTTAAGAGTTTTTAGAGTAAGAGGAAGAGACTGACAAATTGCACTAGTCCTTTCTTGACTTTGTGAGACACTTTGAAACCCCAAAGTGCTTGTGAGGCGTTGGCACAGTTGGGCTTTGTTTGTTGTAATCCTACATAAGGGTATTGTTGCAGATGCACCTTACAGTGACAGCCGGTTGCTCACTTTACGTTAACCGCAATGTCTTCACGGTCATCAACCAACAGTGGCCTGGAGACTGTCATTTCACTCAGTGTGCCTGCTAGCCTGCAGCGTGGTTCTGCCCCACAAACTCACAGCCGGGCAAATGTGTGTGTGCGCTTGTGGAGGGGGGTAACACAGACGTGCATATGTGCCCCAAAGAGAGGCACACTCACACAAAACTATACACTCAGCATAAGGCAGGCTGTTGGAGCAATTACAGAAACATGGCAGAACACGATGAAGCAAGCCCACTATCAGGGAAATAGAGTGAGTAGAGAAAAAATGATGACGCCATTAATAACAGTGAGGCTTGGAGGTTAAGATGGAAAAGGCGGGGGTGACCCTTTTGGTGATTTCTCTGTGACAGCACTTTGAGGGGCAAATGGTCCTGTTTGTATTGCATATTTGAACATTTAAATGGCCCTATTTTACAGCGTCAATGCAGAGAACTGCAGTATTCCAAATGTTGTAAAATGATGCTTTTACTGACATTCTTGCATCCCTTATTTTGATTAAAGACAGGTCACATGCGTATTGTTTTAAAATGTTAGCGTCCAGCTTTCCATATCGAGTGCCTTTATCGTCAGCACTGAGATGTGTCATACAGAGGAAAGGGACGCTTCTGAAATCATTTATAAAAGAAGGATGAACTGAAAAGCGGAAAAAAGTGTTGTGGGTGATAGAAGCAGTGGCGCAGTATAGCCAAAGATGTTGAAGAAATTCTGGTGCAAAACATATGGCAAGTCATGATTTATGAGGCCTGCCTGCAACATGATGACTTCAGCTTCCAAAACCAAACTATTTTACAGAGCTGTCATTGTCATTCTTTATACAGCATTAACAATACGTGCATTGTCAGTAGATGACTTGGTGGAGACTTTTTGATCAGCAACAGAATTGATAAATTACAAGTGAGGAAAATGAAGAAAGAATACCTTGGAACATCTATCATCTCAGCTTTTGTGAGAAGTGCTCAACAGCTGATGTTCTCTTTCTGTTTAAAAGGGCTTAATGTGTTAAAAGTTATACAGTAGGGTTATTATGATCTAACCTACTTTTCTGTTGAAACACAAGATACCTACAAGTCTTGCTTACTCGTGTCTTAGGCCAAACTCCGACAGAGCAGTCAGGTTTGTTGATTTCAGTGACGCTCATTGGTCATCCATCATTTAGCAAAAAATAAAACTTCTCTCACCTCAGATTGACAGTGTTAAGCGCTTCACTCATTTCTCTCTTCTGAAGAAGTCTGCAGAAGCGAAGAAGTCCGAAGATGAAGTCCATAGCACCCATGTTTTTATTCATTATTTTTATTTATGTATTTATTTTTGAGACAAACAGACTATCACGATCCATTTGAAAATTATGCATATCTGAATTCTGGAGGCTGGATTGCAGACTTTTAGAAGTATAAACCCTACCAAAGATGTTTTTTTTTCTTTATAATGAGAAAAACATAAAAACAACAAATCTGAAACTGTGTTTTTAGAAACTGAATTAAATTATTTACTTTATGTGGTGGCCGGAAGTAGCGCGAGAGAGAGAATAAGGGTATTTCATCATCAGCTCCAGACTGTCCACCTAAATGAAATAATTGTGTCTTCTGTTTGCTAATTATGTCAATTTTATCATTATGTAATTATTTTCAGCACTCACTGTTACATGGCCCTGTGCACTATGATAAAACAATAGACAAAAATACCTATAATTAATATTAATTAAGCTTTCCCAGCTTATACACCTGTGCGAAGGAAGCTTTTTTGCTTTGTTTTGCCTCCTTCACACCATCTAAACCACTAATGTCCCCAAAATCAGAGCCTATAATTATCCCTGTCATGTAACCATCAAAAGCATGTGAAAATAAAGGTGAACTATAAAGTTATTACCAACATTTGTTATCCTCTTGATAAGGCTCAACCTTCAAAATAATGAGTGAGTTAAGAATCGACTGCATGGAATTCAGGTAAGTCATATTATTTTGTTACTCTCAAAGAAAGAACTTGTACATTTCCATAGCCAAAAAGTACATACCTTACTGTCTCATAATGGTTTTTGGTTATTTTAATAGACTATACAGGATGCTTCTCTCTCTAA